GTGTCTCTGTGTGTCTCTGTGTGTCTCTGTGTGTCTCTGTGTGTCTCTGTGTGTCTCTGTGTGTGTCTCTGTGTGTGTCTCTGTGTGTGTCTCTGTGTGTGTCTCTGTGTGTGTCTCTGTGTGTGTCTCTGTGTGTGTGTCTGTGTGTGTCTGTGTGTGTCTCTGTGTGTGTCTCTGTGTGTGTCTCTGTGTGTGTCTCTGTGTGTGTCTCTGTGTGTGTCTCTGTGTGTGTCTCTGTGTGTGTCTCTGTGTGTGTCTCTGTGTGTGTCTGTGTGTGTCTGTGTGTGTCTCTGTGTGTGTCTCTGTGTGTGTCTCTGTGTGTGTCTCTGTGTGTGTCTCTGTGTGTGTCTCTGTGTGTGTCTCTGTGTGTGTCTCTGTGTGTGTCTCTGTGTGTGTCTCTGTGTGTGTGTTTTTTTTGAGACCCCTTTGACTGATGAGTCAGAAGGCTGAGCCCTTTCACATGATGTCTCATGCGGCCTAGTGGTAGGAGAAATTCGTCCGTCTCTTCCCACTAGGACTTTCCAGACCAGCACGCCTCTAGAGGCTGTCGGGCAACCATCCCAAAAATTTTCACAGGTAGTTGTTTGTAAAAATAGGTTGGTGCCAGGAGAAATATAAAACATGGAAAAGGGTGAACCGGTGAGAAAGGTCTAGAGCCGGTTCAGTCAGAAGAAGCAGCAGCATGTGGTTGCCACACATCAGCATGCCAGCCGCCTGAAGCGCCAGATCAGCGCTGCTCGCCGCCGCTGCCGCCTCGCAAGGTGCAGCCGTCGCAGCCATGCCCATTCTCCCGCGCACCTAAAGGTTTTTTTTTTTAGACTGGCCTTCGTGAAACAATGGGCTGTGCCTCTTGGACCAGTGTTTTTTTTTGCCATCTTCTTGGGGCCTGAGAACTGGGGGTGGGTACACTCCGGGATGCGGAGGGCCTGTAAGAGGGCACTGATCTGGGGATCAGTGACATGGGTGGCGGATGCCGTGGATGGTGCAAACAGGATGAAGAACATCACAAGTGCAACTAGGCAAAGTGCCATGTGAAACTGCAGTAGGCCAAAATGGCATTCTCAGTAGTGTCGCCGACTAGGCATAGATTCCAATCCAAAATGGACTTTAGGGCATGTGCAGGCTGGTGAGCACACCGCACGGTCTGGCAAAATGCCATGTGATACATCCAAGGCCAAAATGGCCGCAATTGTCAAAACTGCCGTCATGTCATTGGGTCCCAATGTAAGAATGTGCATGGTGAGACAAGCAAAACTTTGAGTGAAAACTTGGGAACCCAATCAGATTGTATCTGGGTTTCAGTTGGAGAGTCCTGTAGGTGCTCAACATCAGTCCCCTCCTGGTCTGTGTCGCTTGGGCTTCGGTTCCGCAGTCAAAGTGGGTGACGTAGGTTCACTTGATTCCCCAGAGGCTAAGGTGACATGTGAACCATGGGGTCTGTCAACACCATCCCGTGGCCCTTCGGTCGAAGAGGCTGCAGCTGAATGCCCTGTCGGCAGGGACAATGGTGACTCAGGTGCAGGATGCCGGTCAAGGGTCCTGACAGCCAGTGCAGTGGGTTGGATGAGCCACAGGGTGGTGATGTTGCACAAGACGGCATCATCAAGGTCACTGGCAATGTCAGGTAAACGATTATCATCATAAATCATCCAATGGCCTCTGTAACGCAATGCCGTTCTGTGATGACCGCTGTGTGGACTGGTCCCCATGTGAAATGTCACTGCAGCAACTCTGAACTGGATTTGCAAAACTGTGCCATTGTCATCTGCAAAAAAGGGAAATGAAATGGTGTCTGTCGGCAAAATGATCTTCTGTTGACATTTGCGGTTCTGTGATTCAATGTGTCTGTCAAACAGCAAAATGAGGCAGCTGCTCTCCTGGTTACCTGCTCGACAAAGACCTGAGTTGTCATGCCAATGCGCAATCAAATCGACTAGATGATGAATCGAAGCAAGATCGGAGAGTGTCTGGCGCCCTTTTCACTGTCCAAGATCGGATGTGATACTTTCGTGGTGTGTTGAAATCTTGTGCACCAGCTGCAGGACAAGAAAGTCGGTCTCAGTCTGTCAATGAGGAAAGAGGTGAATTCCAAAATGTCC